TCTAGATCATTCGGATTGGGTACAAGCGATGCAGGAGGAGCTCAATGAATTCGAACGAAACAAAGTTTGGAGACTGATTCCTACTCCAAAGGATGCATACGTTGTAGGATTAAAGTAGATGGTTTGCAAAAAGCTTGATAAAGAGGGAAACATTATACGAAACAAAGCGCGACTGATTGTAAAGGGGTATTGTCAAGAAGCAGACATTGATTACGAAGAGACCTTTGCACTTGTTGCTAGGCTGGAATCCGTTCGCATCTTTCTGGCTTATGCAACACATAGGAATCTTGAAGTATACTAGATGGACATCAAATGTGCATTCTTGAACGGGGAACTTGAAGAGACAATATATGTGGAGCAACCACATGGATTCATAAACGAGAAGTATCCTAATCATTGTTACATTCTAGACAAAACAGTGTATGGTCTGAAAAAAGCTCCAAGGGCCTGGTACGAAACTATCACTCGTTTCTTAAAATTGTCCAAATTTAAACAAGGTTCGGTTGACCCAACCTTCTTTTGCAACAAAGAGGGTGACCACTTAATTATTGTCTAAATTTAAATTGATGACATTATCTTTGGATCAACTAACCATAACTTAACAGTTGAATTCAGAAAGCTAATGGAAACAAAATTTAAGATGAGTTCAATGGGTTCGATTAACTTTTTCCTTGGATTAAACATAAGACAGACCCAGGAAGGTATATTTATAAATCAGGAGGCATACATGAAGACCCTGCTCAATGATTTTGGAATGGTGGGAGACTAAAAAATGAAGGTTCCAATGACATTCAGAATGAAAATAACACCATCTCTAGATAAACCGGCTGTAGACATGACGCTCTATCGTCAAATGATAGGTTCGTTAATGTATCTAGCTGCTAGTCGACCATATATTATGTTTTTTGTTTGTTATTGTGCTAAGTTTCAAGCGAATGCTCGAGAACCTCACATGACGGGTGTTAAGAACATATTCCAGTATCTAAAATGAACATCTTCACTTGGAATATGGTACCCATCGAAACCTGGTTTCTTTGTGGAAGCATTTTTGGATGCTGGTCTTGGAGGATGCGGGTTAGATAGAAAGATTACAACTAGGAGATGTCAATTTCTTGATGGCAAACTTGTTAGTTGGCAGTCCAAAAACCAAACTTGTGTTTCCTTGTAAATAGCTAAAGCTGAATATATTGTTGCTGCCTCATGCACTTCTCAAGTCATATGGATTCAAAGTCAACTTCATGACTATCTCCTTAATATGAAATGAATCCCATTATATTCTGACTCCGAAAGTGCCATTCGCATTTGTCACAATCTAGTGCAACAATCAAAGATGAAACACGTAGCACTGAGGTATCATTTTATTAAGGATCATGTGGAAGATGACAGGTTTGAAGTAAATTTCGTGAGATCCGTTGATCAGTTAGCCGGTATATTCATGAAATCCTTACCTGAAACAACCTTCAATAAAATTCTGCAAGGCCTAGGAATGATGGAAGTTGAATATGTTCTGAAATCACTTTCGCATTCATAAAGTTGTCGCTGCGAATGCTCATAGTAATTCGCAGTCCACTTTGACACTACGAATCAGTGCGAACGCTTGCAGTGACTCGGGATCCACTGTTCATTCGTGGTTCAGATCTTCCTGTATCCTTTTGTATATTATGTATATTATCTTTTATCTTTATTTCATTTTTGAGTTATATTTTTTTTTAATTCTTTTTCAGAAAACCCCAAAATATAAAATTATCTTCTTTGTGTTTATTTTTTATTTCTTTTATTTTCACAAAATATAAAACATCAAAAATATCAGATAACTGAGAAGCTCTTGAAGGAACACATTCATAGTCACTCTCAGTTCATATGTGTGGGAAAGTATAAATGTAACATCCCAAAATTCAAGCCCGAAAATTTCATTTTTGAATTAATAATTTAATAAACATTTTACCAAAATATGGTCAAATAACAAGAAGTTTCAAAATCATAATGTTGTGTCCCAAACTATGACATCAAAAGTAATGAAAATCAGAGTACAATCCCAGAAACTCAATGTGAAAACCATGTGTGTGTGTGTGATGCGTTGCTATACTCTTCGAGTCCACTACTTAAACCCCGCGTCGCATCCCACTTTTACTCGGCGAGTTGGTCCTTCAACTTGCCGAGTCCAAGGCCAAAAATGAAAAATACTTAGCTAAAAATAAAAAAAATACGTACCAAGAACCAGGTGCTACAATAAATCTCTTTATCTATGTACTAGCTAAGTGTCCCTAGAAGCATGCTATTTCATGTTGTCCAAAGCCTCATCGACTCTATGTTGAAGCCTTAATGAATCGATTCTACCAATCGTTTCTTCCCAATCAAGTTGCAAATTCACATAAGTCATGAGCCACCTTACTCTTCTCACACTGAGTTAAGAGTTGTCTACTTGGTCACTTTCGCATAACAGAGGTACATTCGTTTCTCTGTAACCATCTCCACATTTCTCCATCACTTTTGCATTCATGATCTTAACCCTTGAGACTCTCAGAAATTACCACTGAGGTTTATGGTTACACAACATCTCTGTTAATAATCTTAGTATCGTACAACCACGAACGGAGTGAAACCCAAAATTCAACACATGTTTATGAATTAACGGTGAACAATTACATGTTCTAGATTTTTCACCATAGAATTGACGAAAATCCACTTTTGTGGACTGAACCAATAAATCTCTTTTTCTTTTGCGAGATCTCAATGAAATGGCCTAGACCTAAGACGTTTCTTTCCAAAAGATACATATATTTTTTTTCCGGAGATTTCTGAATCTATCCATGTCACTAAAATATTTCCAAAGCTACTCGTTCAACTGACTACACTAGTCACACGAGTACTTCATCAGAACGTGCGTACTTATATCAAGTTTCAAAGTTTGGTTGAAGATAAAGCCACCATGTAAACCTAAAGAAAAGATGCCTTTCACTGTTTCTTATCAAACAGTTGATCGTGATTCAACTGGGAACCACACAGACACTTATTAGTCTATCTTGACTTCGAAGCAATAGATCTTTTCCCGGGATCCACTGCTTCATGTCTTGCATAAGACATCAGTAAAATCCCACATATATGTATTTCTTTATTTCTTTATCATTGACACACTCTCACACGAAGATCCTTGTGATTTTTCTGAAGTCTGGTTTGTGGCACTTACATTTATTTTCAATTTCGTAATTCTACCAAGATTGCTTAAAAGTGAAAGTTCATATCTATATGGGAAAGGTGGAACATAACTTAACTGTGAAAGGGTAGAGCTGATGTGACATTTTTTCTGGATAAGAATTCAAATGGGTGCTTGAAAATTTGAACAAACGTCTACTTTACCACCGTCTAACGCACGCTTCTGATGTAACAGTTGTCAATCACGCTTTTTTAGACGACTTTTCAGTACCCGATACAATCTTTCTCTGGATTTCTCTCACCAAATAACTGGTATAAAAGGCTTTTGACGCTACATCTCTCCTCACTACTCACAAATACCCATAAAGAAATTTAGCGATCGAAAAGCTCTCTGCTGTTCATCATCCTCTTCTTCAAGAACTCATCAATGGTGAGATCCTCTGAAACTCCTTCCATCCAAGAACAAACAGGGCATTCTCTACTTCTTCCCATCAATTCCAATGAAAATCTGGTAATCGATTTTGATCCTTGCAAATATGAAAGTTATCTTCTTACCATTGTTGAATGCTGGGAGTACTCTCCATTGAATACGGCTCTTACAAAGATGGAATACATTTCGATGTCCCTTCTGTCGAAAGCTTACTCTTCTGTGTGTTATATCAAGGAAGAACAAAGAATCACTTTTGAAATCCACTATAGAACCACCTCCATCACCAAATCTTGTTTTTTCTCAATTTTAGGGCTCACTCAAATAAATGACATGATTGATCCTGAATCTGTCACTAACTCAACCCTATTAGAGACGTTCTATCAGATGGGGTACAAGGGAACCCTAACCGCCATCTCCAAATTCAGAAAACCTAACTTGCCGCGGCAATGGAATGGGCTCTTTACCATATTGTTCAAGGCTTTCTCTGAAAGGGTTATAGGGTCGGATTGCTCGAGCAAGCTGTTTATGGAGATCATATATGGAGTTTACATCAGGCTGACACATTGGTTTTGGTGCTGTTCTCTGGGCACAAGTGATTTAAAGCACTCATTCTATTACTCATCACAGGGAAATTTCTTGTGCACGTTTCTGATCAATCATCGTTCAAAGGGCGATCACCAAGCTACAAATTCCAGTTATGCAAGACTCAATGATGGATTATATTTCAACCCTTCACACCAATGGAATTATTCTTTCTGACAACTCAAAGTTTGTATATGTCAGTTCAATTCCTGAAGCCATGCTTCGTGATGTGCCAGCTACTAGCAAGATCCTTGCAGGCTATAGGACGATTCCTGCTTCAGGTTTTTGTCCTTTAACTCGTGAGATGCAATCAATCATTGTTGAAGCCGACAAACCGAAGAAAGGAGGTCAGAAAGGAGGAAAGAAACAAAGTGCTAAAGAGGGTCCATCTGAACCTGCAAACCCTCCCAAGCAACGAAAGGCACAAGATGGCTCATCTGCAATTGCTCCCACTTAAACCAAGAAGTGAAAGATCAAGAACGCAGCTCGCATCCCAAATCTCCCACTCCAAGTGAAAGAAAACATTCACACTCTGACACTCAGTCAGATTTTGGCATTAAAGAGGCCGAGCCTACACAAAACAAAGATACCGTAACAACTTCCCAACCAGAGGTTTCGGCTTCGATATCATAAAACCCTGAGGTAACTCCAACTGATAATGATTTCTTCCAATCTCCACCTCATTCACCCAAAACCACCACCACACCAATAACCATCGCACCTCGTTCACCACCAGTTTCTTCTCAATCATTGGGCAATATTCCTCTCTCTACTCCCTTATTTTCTGATTCCACTACCCCACTAACAACATCAGTTGAATCTCCTGTTTCTGTCAATGCATCTGATGCAGGGGCAGGAGCTTCAAGTTTTACAACCGCTCATATCTCACCATCCATTTCCCCACTTTGCCAAAATGACCCATATATGATTTATGGTGATAATTAGGTAGACTTCACAGGATTCACCTACAGTCCATTCAACATTAGGACTGAAAGTGATGACGAAGCTCCTGTTATGAGGGGTCAACTCAAGGCCATACATGAAAAACTTGACTCGTTGCTTCATGCTTCAAAGCCATCACCAACTGATGATTATTCTCAAGCTACAATCAACTTCCTCCGTGAGACACTTACCAAGCACTCAGCCAATCTTGAGAGGATGAAAAAGGCAGTAAATGCCTTTGCTACTGTCTGCAACAGCACGACCAAAAAAGTTGATAAACTAATTTCTGAAGCCACTGCATTCATGGAAAAGTTCCAAACCTCCTTTGAGTCCAACACTGCGAAGGCTAATAAAGTCATTTCTAGCCTTGGCTCATCCATCAAAATCGAGAAGGCAAAACTTCAAGTGGTTTGCACTGGCCTTAAATCCAACTATGACGAGTTCCAGTCATAAATCTTCTCGTAAATATCCAAGCTTCAAGATGACCTCGCAATGGAGAGTAAGATAATGGATACTCTTGCTGTCAAAACTGAAAAAGTGAAAGTTCTGACTGTCAAACCTGACGCTGCTGAGAAACAAGTCAATGATTTGTTATCCGATAGAGCAGTTATGAAAAACTCAGGCCAGACTTTTCCATGCTTCATCATTTGGAGGGTGTGACAATAGCCAATTTCGGGTCAAGTCAAAGTCAAACAAAGTCAACAAGTCAAACCGGACGACTCAATTAGCCCTTGTATATTAGGGTTTACATTGTGTATTTACTAAACAACCTGCTATTTTAATGAGAAAACATCAATTGGAAAATCGTATGTTTGAATTTCCATAGCCGTGATAATGCTAAACATTGAACCAAAGCGATAAAACAATATTACACACTCATCGGGAGTGTGTAGGGCACTAAAACATGGCTTAATGGGGTCTACGGACCTTGCATTGCGAAGCCGGACACTCAAAAATGTCATAAACGAAACCTCCCTCAATCGTATTCACTCTATCTATCTCTATTTCAAATCTCTCTCAAAAGTTCCCGTAACTTTTGATAGTCTTTCGGGCCATCCCGACCCTTAACCGGGTCAAAAACGGCTTGAAACGGGGTAAAAACATGTAAAACAGCCTTAAGGAGCCGAAACTCCTCTTAGGGGCCGAACCCTCTTAACAGCCGAAACCCTAGGACCGAGACCCTAGCAGCCGAAACCGAGACCCTGGAACCGAGACCCTGAGAGCCGAACCCACCGAGGACCGAAACCCGCCTGAACCGAACCTCGCACCTTCGGCTCCCCCTTCGCACCTTCGGTTCCTTCTTTCCCTTCTCTTGGTCCCTCTCCTACTTTTGGTCCCCAATCTCAACCGAACCACACTTTTGGTTATAAGCTCCTTAGGAGCCGAACCCTCGCTATTTCGGCCAGAATTTCCGATTTTTGCCATTTTTGCCCGATTTTCAATATTTTTAGCGTTTTAAGCCCGTTTTTCATCATTTTAAAGCGGGATTTTCACCCAAAACTTTATTTTAACATATTAAGACCTATATGCCTTAATTATTCATGTTTTTAATGCAAATCTTATCCAAGATTTAGTGGTTGGAGTAATAAAGGTGGAGTGTTGACTTTCCTTTAGTTTATGACAGAAGCAACCCCTCACACCCACTCCTTGACCAACCACACTCCTTCTACCATTCCTAGGTCATTTCAATGTACTTTTTCATCATTTCCAACCTTTTCCCACATTATTAGAGCTGTAACATCACTCCACACTCCTCACTTCACTCATTTCTCTCATTTTACCAAAGATCAAACACAACTTTACTCTTACTTTCTCTTTCTAAAAATTCGAGATTTAAGGCTGATTATCAAGCTTTCTTACACTCTTAGTAAGCAAAATTCATACTCCTTGTGATCATTATACTTCATTTTACTCAAATCATTGATTGCTTACACAAACTCCATCATTATTGTGTTAGATTCTTGAATTTTCAAAGTAATCCTTCAAGTGTTCTTGAGTTGAACACTTCTCTCCTCCAACATACATCAACCAAAATCACTCAATGTGAGTTCATACCCCTACATTTTCAAGTTTTTTTTAAGTTTTAAGGGGGGAGTACAAGTTAAAACACCAAGAATACAACTAAATGTTTCTAACAGATTTCACCAGAAAAGTTGAACTCCATTCACGGACTGTTTTGGTCAACTAAAACATTTTAGTTTTTAAAATTGTACAAGGTGCAAGTAGTTCAAGTACTTAGATTTAAAATGCCTACTTGCACATCTCCATGCGATTTTTCTACAATTTATAGTGATTTTTACAAAACTGCCTATCATTTCAAGAACCAATCTAGACCAGTCTGTGTTTATGGAAGTTTTCACCTAAGTTGGAGGTCACTAAAAATCATGGGAAAATTTATGAACAAACTAGACTCATTTTCCAAACTCTCAGAATTTACAGATTCTGATTTGGATCTATTATGAATTTTCTATAAATTTTCTAAGAACAGTAATGAAATCTGTTAATAACAGAAAAAACTAACAATTTCATTTCACCTTGTAACATGTTGAGCAAGGTGTACATCTTTATGTGAATATATGTTATTGCAAATAAATGACATTTTGTCTTGGTATATAGACATACATCAGTTAATAAATGGATTTTGATACATATATAAAAGATAACAAATTTTTATAATCAAAGTACATCCATTTATGCGAACATTTGAATAAACTATGTTAAATATAGTTTACGTATATTACCACTACTACCCTTGTTTTGATAAACTATAATAGGTATAGTTTATGATACATTACATAAAACAGTCATACAAAAGGGTACATTTATACAAAAAGGGATTTTCATCACATTACACGTAAATTCGTTAATGACTTTGTGAGACGTTCGCTTCATATTTACCAATAAGTCCTGTATTGTAACCAGAGTCTCCTGGAGGGAGAGCGTGATAGTTGTATATAGATATATATTGAGTTTGACAAACCCACACCTTAACTGCATGCAACAGTTAGACCGGCAGCTCTGGGGTGACAAATGTCATAACATTTCTTACGCCGGAAGAACGTCGTTTCAGGCCAACTAGGTCATAGCATGGTTATAATAACTCACAGAAAGTATTAACAAACATAAGAATTTACGGGAATTTCATTGAATTCAAACACGTTTATGTCGATTTAAACTTACATTATTTTCTATAAGTAAGAAAGGTTACTTATATATTTCGGTCTTTGGATATAAGACTACATTACACATTTTAAGGAAAATATCGGATTTTTCTGGAACAAACATGACATTTACAAGAGAAAGGCTTTAATCAAGTTTAAAACTAAAGCTTATGAACTCACCAACCTTTGTGTTGACACTTTTCAAACAACTTGTATTCTCAGGAAATCACTAAACAGGTAACAAAGTACATTTTGAGGATGGGACGTTAAGGTGTCAACATTTCATATTTTGTCAACATATTGTAATTGATTTGGAAACATGTAATTCATACAATGATGTAACTCTTTCAATTATATATATTTTGGTTGTGTTTTTCTTGGATTACAATTGCCATTGTGGTTATGATACTATACATGAAGTCCTCCACCCCCGGACGTTTCCGCCATCCTTGGTTTGGGGGTGTGACAGAGGGTGTTCTGGAATTCAGCATTCCGGAACAAGGGGGAGAAAAATCCAAGAAGGATGACTGGAAGACTTCAGCCAAGCACAATGTCAAAAGTGAGTATGATCCTAAAGGCAAAGAAAAGCTTTTCTCTGAAGAACCCATCATTGATCATAGTGAAGACGAAAAGCCTGATGAGATTGAGCTCAAAAGAAGAAAAGTACGTGAAGCCGAAATGGATGAGTATTAGAGGATAGTTCGAGAGGCTGAAGTAAAAGAGAAAGCATAAAGAGAAGCTCAAGTCACACTTGAAAGCCGAAAGCTCTTATTTTCGGTGTGGATGCTACAACAAATTCAAAACGAAGCCATGGACTTACCAAGTTAATATTGGCTAGAACCAGTTGTGTCATTTGAGCTTCAAAATACACAAGATTCACAACTGGATCTTACAATAACTCCAAAAGCTTTCAATTTTCGATCTTTGGTAAGAGTAGCGAATGTCCTATCCATTGATAACGGTGCTGAGCATCTGTTCTTCTCGTTCTATCTCAGGAATATGAACCCACTATACGAAACGTGGAGTGCTTGCAAAATTACTACAGTGAAGGTCATAGGTCTAATCGAAACCGACAGCTTCCCAAATGCGAAGTTCAAGGTTGTGAGAGGTTATACTAGTCAGGTTCACGAATTCACTCTTGCAGACCTGCCCGGTCTCAACCCGTATGACTGGATCATGCTTTACAACTTATTGTTGAGAGTAGGCAGAAGTACGAGCTCGTTATCGCTCACCTCAAGTTGATGATAGTTTTGTATATTCAAGAGGTGGGAAAAATGGATGTGGAAATAGCTGCCGTGCTAAGAAGGAAGCCCTCTATTCTCCCTAAAGAATCTCTAGAAGGTTTTGAGAAGTTGAAGCTTGGGAAGATTTACAGAGAAGGGTGGTATGTGGTATTTTAGGCACGAGAACGAAATGATGCAGACTTTCACAAGGCCTGTTTCTTTCTACCTGACAAGCATTTGTACACCACCACTTGCCTAGAATATATTTAGATATGGTCAACAAATTCAAGGGAAACAGCCAGGGAGACAAAAAGTTTTTTTCTATATGATCCAATGGTACATCTAGGTTCACAAGGTTCTGCTAAGCATAATTCCAAAAGTTTTTGAAGTGTAGAAGCGAACTCAGCCCTGATAGACCCTCACCTTAATTGACGTTGAGGGGGAGATTGTTGAAGAGATTGTGTTGTGTCATTGGGCTTTTTATTTTTGTCTATTTTGTTATCGGGTTGGGTCTATCCGCCCGACATTTATTTCTAGGGTTATAGTATTAAGGTGCATGCATGCATCATGTTTGGTAACTTTATATTTATTCTTGTAACCCTAATCACGCCTCAACAGTAGCAGTTCTTAATCAAGTTCTTCTGAGGTTGTGGATTATAATCATTAAGCATAATTTGAATCATTGTTCTTGTGCTTGTTTTCAATATGTTTTGAATCTAATCGATCTTTCAAGGATTTATATCCTAACACACCCAATGAATATGATAGCAATGTAAATTGCTTTGTATTTGAGACAATCCATTGCTATAGTTTCCATTGGATGGGTTGTATAATGTTTCAACAGGAAAGTAGAATGCTATATGGTAGCTTTTGCATTTATAATAAGTTAATTGTTGTTAGTAATTGATTAATAGGTTGACGTGTTCTCATTTGGCATTACTATGTGGGAGATCCTAACTGGTGAAGAACCTTATGCAAATATGCATTGTGGGGCAATCATAGGTAAGCAAACTCTTCTCTTCTGTTCTACTCGAACAAACAAAAAGTAATGATACCAAATATAAAGAAGAAGTAGGTCTAAGAAATAACTATGTACTTGGTTAATTTGTTTGTTAATTGCCATTTCATTTCATGTTTTGACAGAGGGGATCGTGACGGACACCCTTCGGCCTATTATACAAGAAAAGCGTGATCCTGAATGGAAGAAGCAGATGGAGCAATGCTGGTCCGTGAACCCCACTATCCGACCTTCATTTACTGAAATCACAAACCGCTTGCGGGCCATGTCCAAGGCCCTCCAACAAAATGGGCCCAAATAGGGCTCACAGTCGCATGCACATACTTCACTTCACTAGTAAGTAAGTAAAGTAGTAAATACTAAACACATACTGTTTTTCATCCGTTCCATATGTTTTGATTACTCATGAATTTTGCCATTTGTTCATTCTTTTTTGACTGAAAACCGGTTTGTGTGAATAGTATAAAAGTTTACGGATAGTATTATGCTCATTCACTTCAGTAATCTGTTTCAACTTATCATTATGAATATCTATCTAATTATTCAAGGGTTATGTGATTTTGAATCATCAATTTCATATACCGGGAGGTTAATCAATCATTTGCCTTAAAAAATTGTTCTTACAACTTTAAGCAATACAAATATGTCTCCACATTATTTCTAAATCTTAGGTGTCACTTAAAATGAGTTGGATTGATGGGCTAATATTTTTTATTTCAATAAAATAATAATATATCTTTCCATAGATACAATATTTTGCGAAGTTGTATGTATTCATATGGATTTTAAGCGATTTTCGATCCCTTTAATAAGTTTTTTTTTCATTAAAGATGTTCTTAAGTTTTCTTTGGTATGGGCTATCATGTGTTTTTATTTTTTGATTTTAAAAGAAACCCAAATTAAAGAACACCCAGAGTACGAGTCTACAACTTTTATCTTAGAAATTGAAAACTTTTAATCCAAAAAATATTTCAATAGTTTTTATGAGCTTTTATATTTCAATATTGAGCTTTTTATTCACAAGTTCTTTTGTGTATTTTACACATTTAAAGGATACAAATTGTCTAATACTTTTATACAATTAAAAACTACAACTTCTTTCTAGCTATCCCTTACCAACTATTTTTGCATAACATACCCTATGATTAGCTTTCAAATGAATTTGTTACCTTTACCGTAAACAAATGCAAATATAAAGTTGAAGCTTACAAAAATGTATAGAAGAGGAAAAATAAGTCTTAAAAAGCAAGATTATTTATATTGTTATAATTTGAAGAAAATGGGAAAGAGATGTGTTAGACATTTATTTTCTTTCCAAAGTAGATAGCTTTCTCCCCCACTATTAATGAAGTGTTTGACCCTAAATAAAAGGTTTATTTGGTGGAAATAAAATTTGGCAAGGTTTTATGGGAAGTGGCCGTGAACCCCAACACCCCTTTAAAGGGTTTAATGATGGATTTGAACCCAACTCAATCTACCACTTGATAGTTCATACCATGAATCCACGATCAAACGTCTTCAAGACTTGTTACTCTTCATATTAGTGGTTTATTATTTAGAGTAAATTACACGTTTGATCCCTATAGTTTGGAATAACTTTTACATTTTGTTTCTAACTTATTTTTTTAATTTAGACCATCCCTATATTTTGTGGTATGGTTGATCCCTACCCCCATCTAAAATAACAAAAATACCCTTATATATTTCTTTTTAATTTATCTTTGTTATTGATATATTTATTTTAATTAAAAATAAAATTAAAATAGATACTACCCTCGCATTATATCCTCCTGCTAACTCTCACACACACCCTCTCTCTCTCTCTCTCACTCTCTCTCTCACCGGACTTCCACTGACCACCATCATTGGAACGTCACCATCATCACTGGACCGCCGTCTTCTTCCCAGCCGAAGAGAAATATCTGCCACTCACCCTTACCGGATCCCCACTGGAAATCTCTACATCTCATCCGCCACTGGAAAAAGGTAAGTATCAGGTCTCCACCGAAAAGACAGAAGGTTTCATGTCTCCGGCAAACCACCACCAAATAAAATATCAATTACATCAGTAAACCCAATACAACCAAACCAAAAATTATATGAAGTTTGATTTTGTTCATGAATAAGGAAGCTGTAAATATAATCCTTGAAATCAAATCTGACGAACCTCAAATCAGATAGGATGAAACATGAAACTATGATTAAGGAAACCAAAAAAGTTTTGCTTTTTTCCTGATGCATGCAATCAAAACAAATTCGGTTAACTTAAATCCCAAATCCCCAAATCAAAAATGATTAACTTAAATCCACAAATCAGTCCCTTGGACCTACACCATCAGATCTATAACAGATGAACACAAACCCAGAAACCCCCTCCAACTGCAACTCAATCCTGATCTTCTCGCCACCATCTTCAATGAAATAGAGTCGATCGAAGTTTTGAATAGAAATTTTCATGAAAAAGTTTGATGCTACAGTGAGAGAATCAGCAACGATGGACTTGCAGTGTTTTGACGATCGGTGGCGGCGGCGATGTTCCTGGTTCTAGGCTGTAAAGATGACGATATGAAGAGGGTGGTAATAGGGGTGGACCTGCATCTTTATTTTCTTTTACAAAAATAATATTAAATATAATAAAAATATTAAAAATTATAATAATACATTTAAGGGCAATATAGTAAATTGAAGTCGGTTGGGGACTCAATGCGCAACAAATCGAAAACATAGAGATATTTCAAGTAAAAAAAAAAGTTAGGACTAAATATGCAAATTACCTTAAACCATAGGGACCAAGCATATAATTTACTCTATTATTTATGTTTAAAACTTACACAAGAATTAAATTTTCGTTGCGATTACCTATAGAAAATGAAACATGAATTGGATTCCTACCCAAAAATAAAATACCATATTTGGTTTTGAAAAAGTTTCAAAAGATATGTTATATTTATATCTATCTATCAATATCACTAAACAAACAAGAGAATGGTCATTGTTCCATGCTACAAACTATTCGCATCCGTGTAGATCTTGGCTTATAGAAGCAACATATTTGAGATTTGTTAGATCGGTTTAATATATACCGAAGCGTGAATATCATAATTACGATTGTTTGGATAATTCTAAAGGTTGTGTTACAAAATAGATAACAGATATTCATAATTGTAATTTATTCACCTTCTTATAAACATAAAATTTATTCAAATAATTTTGAAAATACGTGGATTTGGTCGACCAATGTGTTGAAGTCACTAAAACCCATGGTTGGAGTAAAACTTAGTGGTTTGCCAACATGTTTGAAGTGCTCTTTGTAACTCTAACAATCATTAGCAAACCTAGTCACCCCTCAATATTTTTTAATTTCTAGATTAATTTGTACCACCAACTTTATTATTTAATTATCTTATAATAAGTTTATTAGATTTTAGCGATCAATTTGTATTAATACTAGTAAGAAGTAAAAAAACAAAATTTGCAAGATAAAGATAGCCAATTGCAAGGTTTTGAACGGTTGAATTATATTAAACTTGACGATTTTCATTTCGTGCGTGTGATAATAATAAAACTATGACGATTAAAATTATAACAAATACTAAGTGAATGCTCGCGCGTTGCGCATAAACACCTATATAGTTAAAGTCTTTACAAATATATGATTTTTTTTTTAAATATAACAATAACGTTTGTTGTTAAATTTGATATAATAATTTGTATATACTAAATTGATATAATATATTGATTATTTTAAATTATATGATAATATATATATTTATTATAACTTCATAATCTCAATCGTTTGAATGATTTCTACCCACGAGTTACACATAAATAAAATTAAATATAATATATTATTTGATGTTATATAGTTGTTTTTATTGTTAATTAATTTTTTAAAATTTGTTTGCTTAATGTTTTAATTTCTATCATTATAATTATTTAAAACATCAAACATTGTTTTTTTTTTATTTTAAAGCTAACAATATAATCATTTATATAGATGTTTTTTTTAACTATTGTTATTGTAAGTTATTTTAAGCTACTTATTTGGAAACTTTTAACGATTATAAAAAATATATTTAAGAAATATTTTATTTAATTGAAATTACAATTTAGTTTTTGCTTTTATCACTACAATTTATCACTTTTACTATTTACAAAATATTCTTTAGTTTTTTTAAATGGAACTGAAATTTATATTTTAGTTGACATTGCAATGCGCAGAAACATCTATATAGTTGAAGTCTTTACAAATATATATTTTTTAAAATATAACATTAACGTTGTTAAATTTGATATAATAATTCGTATATTAATTTGATATAATATATTGATTATTTTGAATTATATGATAATATATAAATCTATTATAACGTCATAATCTCAATCATTTGAATGACTTCTACTCACGAGTTACATATCAATAAAATTAAATATTATATATGGTTTAATATTATTTATAGTTGTTATTTTTAACTAATTTTTTAAATTTTATTTGCTTAATGTTGTAACTTCTATCATTATAATTATTTAAAACATCAAACATTATTTTTTGATTTTAAAGGTAACATTATAATCATTTATATAGAGTTATTTTTAACTATTGTTATTATAAGTTATTTTAAGTTAATTACTTGAATTTTTTTAACGGTTATATAAATATATTTAGGAAATATTTTAGTTAAACTGATATTACAATTTAGTTTTTGCATTTATCACTATAATTTATCACTTTTAACTATTTATAAAATATTATTTGTTTTTTTAGTGGAACTGAAATTTATATTTAAGTTGACACTGTAATGTTATATTTAAATTAACAATTTAAGTATTTTGTCAAAACTGTTCAAAAATTGTAGCTTTAAACTGATAATGGTTTACATGCAATAACATTTTAAATCTAATAAATTAAGTATAATATGTTAAAATTTAAAGACATAACTATATAAATAGAAGTAAATATATTATTTTAAAATTGAAATTTAGTCTATTTATGAATACACTTTAGGTTTGATATTTATTTAACCTTATTAACCAACTTACAATTATTATTAGAAAGACACTACAATTTATCACTTTTAACTATTTATAAAATAATCTTTGGGTTGTTTAAGTTAAATAAAAATTATATTTAAGTTGAGCCTATAATATTATATTTTAATTAATAATTTAAGTATTTTATACAAATTATTAAAAAAATATATCTTTAAAATGATAATGGTTTACATCCAACAATATATTAAAACTAATAAATTAAGTATAATATGTTAAAAGTTAAAAAACACAATTTTATAGGTAGAATTA